GGCCTTCTGAAATCTCCTGTTCAGCTCCTTAATGTCTTGATTTCTTCTTTCTGGTTTGGCTTCTTGGCGCTCCAGTACAATATTCAGAGTCTCTTCTCATATCTATTTTTGTCTTTTCTTCCTCCTCCATCTTTGCAATGACCTTTTGCACTCTTCCTGGATGATATTCTTGATATCTTCCCATAACTCATCTGGTCTTTGATCGTTGGTGTTCAAGGCCTCAAACCTGTTCCTGAGATGATTCTGAAATTCAGGTGCATAGGTATATTTTTATTGTTATGTCCTCTTATTCTGTTGACCCTTTAAGCATTATGTAGTAACTTTCCTTGTCCTTTGTGATGGTTTTGCATTGAAATTTATTTTGTCAGAGATTACTATCACTACTCCTGCTTTTTTTCCTAGTTCCCCTTTGCTTGGTATATTTTTCCCACCCTTTTATGTTTAGTCTTTTATTATCTTCATTTTTCAGGTGTGTCTCTAGTAGACAACATATTGATGGATTTTGGTTTTTTATCTGATCTGCTACTCTTTTTTCTCTTCAGAGGTGCATTTAAATTTTCATATTCAGTGTGATTATTGAGAGGCAAGGTTTTATTGCTATCATTTTGTTGGTTCTTTTTGGTGTTGTTGCCTGTTACTTTGGCCCATCCTGCTTTCTGTGGCACTTCTGTAAGAAGGACGTCTCTCAGTGTTTCCTGCAATGCTGGTCTTGTTTTTACAAACTCCATTAGGTTCTGTTTTTCTGGAAATACCTTGATCTCTCCTTCATATTTGATGAACACTTTCACTGGATAAAGTATTCTTGGTTGACAGTTGTGTTCTTTGAGAGTTCGATATATGTCATTCCACTGTCTTCTTGCTTGCATGGTTTCTGCTGAGAAATTGGCACTTAATCTTCGCTGCTCTCTCTTATAAGTTATTCTTTGTTTCTCCCTCGCTGCTTTCAGAATTCTCTCCTTATCTTTCTTATCTGGCAAATTGGACTATGGTATGTCTTAGTGTTTTTCTTTTGGGGTTTATTCTATATGGTGTTTGCTCAGCTCCTTAAATATATACTCTCTTATTCTTCATTATGCCTGGAAAGTTTTCTTTTAGTAATTTTCCCCCAACTTTTTTGGTGTCTTTACTTGCTTCCTCCTTTTCTGGGATTCCAATGATGTGCATGTTATTCCTCTTGATGGTGTCCCACATAATTCTTAGGTTTTCTTCTTTTTCCTTCTCTTTTGTTTCTGCTTTTCACCCTAGCACATCAGTGGTGGCAATTCTATCTTCTATTTCACTAGTTCTGTGTTCTGTCTCTTCAATTCTGTTCATGTGTCCCTCCATCATGTTGACAGCATCTGAAACATTGGACCTTATATCTTGGATCATGGTTTCTTGTTTGTACAGTGTCGCTAATGCCTCATTTGTTTCATCTGCATTGTTCTGAATAGGTTTGTCTGGGGTTTTAGGTTTTGTGGGGTTTTCTTGGGGTTTGTTTTGTTTTGTTTTGTTTTTAGCTACTCCTAGTTTTTGCTTGCAGTGTCCTGTTATTCTTCAAGTTTATCTTTCATCCATTGAAAATATTCAATCATTGTTCTTTTGAATTCTGTGTCAGAAATTTCCATCAGACTTTCTGGATTCAGGAAATCCATTGCTTCTGTGTCTCTTTTGGGGGAGGATATTTTGCTTTGGACTTGTGTGGGTAGTGAGGTAGTCTGCTTCTTTCGGGACATTGCTGTGGTAGAGTGTTTCATGCCTGAGACGATAGCTGGTTTTTGATCTGCCATCACTGCTTCAGTAGAAGGTTGGGTAAATGCACAAGCAGATGCACGTAGGGTGGGTGTATGCACAGACATACACTTTGGGGGGGTTCGCACACACAGGTGCACACGGGAGGGGAGTGCAGAAGAGACCTCACTCAATTTCCCACTGTCCTGCTTGCTCACACTACAGCTCACTGCTCCCTACTGTGGCTCAGTGCTCCCCACTGTGGCTCGCTGCACCCCACATAGGCTCGCTGTACCCCACTGACACTTGCTGCACCCTGCCAATGCTTGCAGCACCCATGGTTCTCAGAAGTCCACATTGATCCACAGCAATGTTTTGAGAAGCACCTATATATTTGTGCTCTCTCTTTGACAACAGTTTGTTCCCCAGAGTATCTGAGTGAGCATGGAGGAAGTCTGTTGTTCCCTTCTGGAAGTGGCTTCTCACCTCCATCATGGGACTCAGGACCTCGGTGTTATCTGAGTTTAGGGGTCCCATGTGGTCAGACCAGACAGCAGTTTGTTCCCCAAAGTTCCTGAGCAACCAAGGAGGAAGCAGGCAGCAAGATCATTCGAGATGTTGGCAGGCAGCGAGACTGCAAGAGACATGGGCAGGCGGTGACACCACGTGAGATGCAGGCAGGCGGAGGTCACTTTTTTAAAAAAATTGGGAACAAATATAGACCTCTTCCAGCCAATAGTCCAGGTAGATGTCTTCAAAATTTCTTGTCCTAGTGTGCATGTCTAGGGCTGCATCTGTTTGTTGAAACATGTCCATCGGTATCCCATCAATTCCTGAGGCCTTAATTTTTTTCCAGTGCCTTTAGTGCAGCTTGAACGTCTTTCTTCATCACCATTAGTTCTTGAGTACATGATACTTCTGGAAATGGTTTGTTGTTGTTGTTATAATGACTCTATATACAACAGCTCTGAACCCTGCTCTATCCTGAGACAACCTTATTGTCTCTGACACATCTACCCCCATTCCCTAGTCATTTAGTCAATCCATCTCATCCAGGATCACTTCTCTTACACTGTCTCTCCACCCTTCCAAGCATGATGTCCCTCTCCAAGGACTGGTCACTCCTTGCAATGTGCCCTAAGTACGACAGATGACACTTAAGAATCTTCACCTCCAAGGAACAGCCTCGTTTCATGCTCTCCAGGACAAACCTTCTAGCAGTCCGTGATATACTCAGTACTCTTCTTTAACACCACAACTCAAAGGCATAAATTCTTCTGTCATCCCTAGTCATTGCCCAGCTTTCTCATGCCTAACAAGAAATTGCAAAGCTTGGATCAGGCACACCTTAGTCTCTAGACTGATATCACTGCTCTTCATTACTCTTGAGAGGTCCCTGATGACAGAATTTCCCAATGCAACACAACTTTTTATTTCCTGGCTGCTGGTACCAAGAGTGTTGATTGTGTCAAGCATACTTAAGCTGTTAACAATCTCAATCTCTTCACCGTCTATCCTGTAGAAGGTCCTTGACCTTCTACAGCAAACGCTTTAGGTGTTCTTCAGTTTGGGCCAGCAAGGTTGTGCCATCTGCATCTGATTGTTGATGAGGCTTCCTCCAATCCTGATGCCACATTCTTCTTCATAGAGTCCAGTTTCCCAGATGACCTGTCCCACAGATAGATTGAAAAGATGTGGAGATAAGATGCACTCCTGGCATACACATTTCCTGATTTTGAACAATGCAATGTTTCCTTGCTGTGTTCTGACAACTGCCTCCTGGTCCAAGTATAGGTTTTGCATAAGCACAATCAAGTTTCCAGGATTCTTGTCAGAGATAGCCACAGTTTGTTGTGATGCATCCACACACTCAAATGCCTTTGCATAGTCAATGAAACACAGATAAACATTCCTCTGGTACTCTCTGCTTTCAACTAAGATCCATCTGACATAAGTTATAGTATCTCTAATACCATGGCCTCTTCTAAACCCAGCCTGCACATCTGGCAGTTCTCTGTTGTGCTGTTCCAGTCGTTTTTGGATAATTTTCAACAGGATCTTGCTTATATGTAATATTCATGATATTGTTTGGTGATTTCCATACTCTGTCGGGTCACTTTTTTTGGAATGGAAACAAATATTAATATCTTCTAGTCAGTTGGCCAGATGGTTGTCTTCTACATATCTTGTCACAACTTGATGAGCATGTTCAGGTCAGCATCTGTTTGTTGAAATATGTCAATTAGTATACCATTTTTTGCCAATTCTTTCGGAGTAGCTTGAACTTCTTCCTTCATCACCACAGGTTCTTGCTTATATGTTGTTTCATTAAATTCTTCTGTCAGCCATTTCTTTTTGGTACAGTGACTCTTAGTGTTGACCAGGTCTTTGTGGTACATGACTCTAGGTCATGTCATCTTCTTATGGTATTTCCTGCATCATTCAAGGTTTTGATCATAGATTCATTCAGCATTGCAACTCAACGCTTTAAATTGTTCTTCACTTCTTTCAGATTTAGTGTATTTTTCCTTTTTGGTTTTCCAAATCCAGATTTCATTATAAGATTTTGCTTTGTCTTCTGGACTTCCCTTTGAAATCTTTTATTCTGCACTCTTATTTCAACATTTCTTCCTTTCCCTTTTGCTTCTCTATTTTCAAAAACAAGTTTCAGAGTGTGTTCTGATTCTGTTATTACTATGTCACTAGTATTTAAAATATCAGCAGGGTCATCCATGGTGGATAGGCTTTAGTGGGGCTTCCAACTAAAACAAAACTAGGAGGCAGGCCTTACCAAACATTTCTAAAATAATAAACCCTTTAAAATCCTCTGACTACCAGTGGAAGCTAATGATGCTAACTACATATGACTGTTACAAAGATCAAATGAGAACATCTTGACTCATAGGAAATATTCAGCAAATGGAGGAAGCAATGTTCTTTGAGAGCATTATTTTGGAGGTTTGGAAACATTTCAAACAAAGCATATGAAAATAACTTTATATTAATAGTTCTGAAGATGAACATATCTTGAGGATGAGGGAGAAATTTAGTATTCCTGTGGATTTCATAATTTCTAGGTTATCATTTTGTATCTTCTTAAAAACACTTTAAAGACTTTTTTCCAATTACCACAAGATTTGAATTAAAACAAGCATGTGCTTAAATTTAGTTGTGTCCTGGGGACAGCTAAATATACTACTGGGCAAATTACCTTTCTGAGATTAGAAAAGGAAGTCAGGCAGGGTGGGCTTCCTGTCTCCTTAAACACCTTATTCTTTTCCTGCATGTAGCTCTTTGACCGAGAACTGTGCATTCGTCAACTACGCTACTCTGGCATGATGGAGACAGTGCAAATCAGGAAGTCAGGCTTCCCCATCCGGTACACGTTCCAAGAGTTTTCACAGAGGTTCCAAGTCCTGCTGCCCAGCGCCTTGAGAAGGCAGGTGAGAGCTCAAGCCCATTTATTCTTCTGCCCTGACAGGGAGGCCATGGAGCCTACCTACCTCCTCCCAGACTAATCCTTCCCCTTCACCAGCCTCCACTCAATTTCCCCCTTCTGGAACATCAAGTATTCAAATTATCAATGTTATACTTCTCCCTTCTCAACCCTTCAGTCCTGGTCTCTTAAGGCCTCACTGCCAGTACTGTGAGGGAAGGATTAGTCATGCGGTCTGAACCACTGTATGTCTCGTCTAGGAGATTTTTCATTTTTGGTAGAGGAGATAATTTCTGATGGCCTAGTGGATAAAGTGTTGCACTACCAACCTAAAACCAGGTGATTTGAATTCACTAGCCACTATGCAAGAGAATGGTAGGCAATCTCCTCCCCTGTGATCAGAAAACCTACAATATGGTTACTTATGATTCTGTTCTAACTCCAAGACAATAAATTTGTTTTTTTGTTTTTTTTAATAAATTTGTTTTAAGGAGTTTTTGCCCCCTTAAATGTATGCTCTCAAGGGTTGATGTGTGACTGGGGAACATTGTTATTGTTGTTGTTAGATACCATCGAGTCAAGTATGACTAAAAAGCGCCTAACAACCTAGCAACCCTATGAACCCTGTCCTACCCAGTGCCATCCTCACTGTCCCCAATAGCTCAGGACAGCTACTAGAGATAGGAAATCCTCAAACACTCAGTCATCGTCATCTTAAAATTTCGTATGGGCAAGGACCTTCATTGAAGGCCTAGTCATAAAAGCACTGAAGCCTGAATGCTATGGTATCCATATGGCTGAATATCCATCTCAAACTGTGCTTGATTTGTTTGTGCCTGTGCCCTGGACAAGCAAGGCTCTTCCTAGGATGTTGGTGTGGGGGAAGAAGATATGTTGTTGTTGTTGTTGTTCTATGCTGTCAAGTGGCCTGGGACTCATAGTATCCTGTGTCAATCTCACTGTCTCTGACACACCTACCCCCATTAACTCATTCACTGAATCAATCCATCTCATCAAGGGTCTTCCTCTCCTGCATTGTCCCTCCACCCTCCCAAGCATAACATCCCTCTCCAAGGACTGGTCCCTCCTTGCAACATGTCCAAATAATGTCAGATGAAGCTCCAGAATCCTTGTCTCCAAGGAGCAGCCTGGTTTAATCCTCTCCAGGATGAACCTGTTTGTTCTCCTTGGTATATTCAGTTCTCTTCTCCAACACCACAGCTCAAAGGCATCAATTCTCCTTCTATCACCCCTAGTCATTGTGCAGTTCTGAGCTGACAAGGAGTCTCTTCAGGATGTCCTTGGAATTTCCACTCTAACTGCACTGACTATCCTCTTCTTGGCAGCTTCAAGACAAGTTCCATCAAATGGCCCTACGTATTGCTGACATGTGGTTTGGCACAGACAAGGACTGGAAAATGGGGAAAACTAAAATTTTCCTGAAGGTGAGATACCTAAGGAGCATATCAAACTCCAGTACTTAGTGACCCTCACATCAAGCCTGTGTTCTAGCAGATAGTCTTTATTCATTTGATCTTTGCCAGCTGCAGAAAACCATGCCTAGGTGAGTGAAGCATACCAAGGGAAACCCCTGAGGGATGGGCAAAAGGTAGGGCCCCGTGCAGCTGAGGAGTCTGCAAGACTTTCTCAGAAAACTCGAAGACCATAAAGAGGAGATACCTGTGAGCCACAGGACAAGGGCCAGGAAAAACCCAGGAAGGCCAGGTCTACCAATTTCCTGAAACCTAGTTTTTGTGGGGACCTTAAATAGCTCAGTCTCTTTGGAGCTTGGTGAGATAGTGCTTCAATGAAGCTCTGGGTTGAATTCTTGGTGAAGTGACTACAAAGATACCCCTTGTCTACTCTCCCTACTCCTATTTACAACTAATTATGCAAATAATGTCTATGGGAATTTTGTGTGCACATCACCCATCTACCACCACTGACCACAACTTTGTGGAGGACAGTCCAGACTCCTAAGACTGGTGGCAGGCCTTCCTAGGAGCAAGGGGAGGTCAAAGAGCCACCTGGAAGAGAAATTCTGTGTCCCCTAGACTTTGGGGATGAAGAAGGGAGGTGGGATAATTGGTGAACAAAGAAGAAATCAGGGCCATTGTGGCAGCAGATCATTCTGCCAGTTCACCTGACCACCGTCCCCAAAGTCATCTCCTCTGTCCCCTTCATGTGAGGTGGTCAAAGGAAGAGGACCAAAGAAGAAGGACTTAAACTCAATAAAGCCTTAAGAAATGATAGGTTTGGAGAGAGGTCATCTGGACACCCGACTCCCCTTGTCTGAGAATGTCCATGTCTCTGTCCTCCTTACTCCTAACCTAGCTGCTCTGTGAAGGTATAGACTTTTTGGTCTATCTTTGTATCCCTAATGATTGCCCAGGATTCTGTGCTTGTTTGGTTAAAGACTGGTGGAGGCAAGAAAGGCATGTTGCTCTGGGTTAAACAAAGTTCACAGCCTGAAAAGCTGAGATAATAGACCTGTGCTTTTGTCCCAGGAGTTTCAGCAGAACTGAGTCCAAAGTAGGCTGGGAAACACACAGCCGAGGATGACTACAGTTCAAACCTTGACACCACGTATCTGCTATACAGTGAAATGCAAATTTCACATTAATTATGGGAAATAAAACACAATTCCAGGGAAATAGTGAACCAAAGGGGGGCTGCTTCATTTCCTTATTCTCCAGAGCAGGAAGAAAAAAATATCAGAGCAAATTAGGAAGGGGACTTAAAATGGGATTTTCTTGCATGGAGGTGGGACAAGTATAAAGCTGGCAACTTTTCTCCATGAGTCACATCAGTTAAATTGAAGGCCTCTTCTTCCTGCTTGCCTTCCTAGGTGCAAATCCATAAGTATGAGAGGCACTGGCTTCAGACATAGAGCCAGTTCCCAGCAGAGATAGGGTGATGGTTAGGCAATTGCTTGATGGCTTTCCTGCCTGCAGGATCACCAAGATAATCTGCTGGAGATACAGAGGAGCAAGATCCTGGAAACATCAGCCATCCTCATCCAGAGGGTTCTGCGGGTCTACAAGGACAGGTACTCATCCTCCTTCCCCACCTTCCCAACTTCCACAGTTCAGTAAACCATGGCCTCATGCTCTCTAGTTTGTTCTCCTTAGAATGTCTGCACCATAGGCCATCCCAGGACTCCTGGGTTGCACTGCAGTCATTTTTAGCTTCAGTATTCTACTTGTTTATTTTATTTTAGAGTTAGGGATTCACTATATAGTAGGAGATGTGCACTAAAGGAAGTCAAGGCTCTAGTCTCAATTACAATTATTTCAGTAGCTTTATAGAGGGTATGCTTTGTTGTAGAAGGTAATTTGGTTTTTGAAAGAAGCTCTAATGGCATAGTACTTAGCACTCAGTTACTAACCAAATGCTTGCGGGTTCCAGCCTGCCAGCTGCTACTCAGGGAAAAGATGTAGCAATCTGCTACCATATTACCTTATCCAAGCAATACAAACAGATATGGATGAGGAGAAAGTACTATATCTAGGACCATACATAAATTTGATGATACTTCCACATTAATATTAGAATATGCTGGTGTAAAAGGAGCAGATGCAACATGGGGGAGACCAAGTCTGACTTCTACCCACTTCAGGATCTGTCTCCAACAATAATATTAATAGTACCAAAACAGATGGAAGGTCAGACATACTACTCTTCATGCTCCTATACCTTTTTCTTTGTTTTCCCATGTGTGTGTGTGTGTGTGTGTGTGTGTGTGTGTGTGTGTGTGTGTGTCAAACATTCATCTAGGTGATATAGCACTGGTCTGTGCGTTGCTGTACAGAGGTAACTCATGGTTGCTGTGATGCTGAAGACTGTGACAGTGATGTGCCAATTGTGGTAATGGTTACCCATGGTGGACAGCATTGGCTGGAGCTTCCCGACTAAATCAAACCAGGAAGCAGGAGCGGCATCCACTTCTGAAATAGCTTGCCTCCGGAAACTCTATGTATGAACAGTGCTCAGGCTGTTAGTTCATAGGGTTGCTATGAGTTATCTACGACTCGATGGCATCAAACAACAACAACAACATACCTTTTTCTACCAATCATTGGGTCCAATTCTTTTTGCAAGACTCACAGACTTTACTCATAGTTGCGGTGTTTCTTAGGGAACTAGGTTGGAGAGTGGAGGAGCCAAAGAATATGACAAAATGCAAGTATCAATTTAGTCCAGCAGTCCCAAGCCAAATTAACAGCAATATAAAATTCCTCAATTAGTGAAAGACAGCTTCTCAGTCAGCCAGTGAAAGTTTAGTTTAGTTCAGCAGCACAAATGCACGAAACCTCTGGTTTCTCAATCATCCAGAAAACTTAATCTCAGAGCTGTTACAAATGAACTTTTCCTTCAGTCATAAAGCAAGAAAAATCTAACTATGGCCTTTATCTCCTCTGGTTACAACTTGCCACATTCTTTTCACACTCTCTCCACCACTACCTCTCACAGTGCCTTCATGGTCAGACCTTCCAACACCATCTCTCACAGGGTAGAAAACATTCTCTTATATTGATCCCACAGCTGCTGATGATTTGCAGGATCATGTGTCTGCAACTAAGGTACCTGGAGACCATACACCACCCCCAATGGGGGCTAAAACAATGGCTAGAAAAGCCAATTTCCAAGGATTCTGACACCCCAGCTGCAATTACATCCATATGTAACACAGCAGCAGGGAGAAATGCTATGTCATCTTTTTAAAAATTTTCTTAATTGTTTTCCCTACAAAATTCATATACATTGTGTTTCATTCACATACATTGTGTTTCACACATTCCCTCAGTCACATTGTGTTTCACTCTGTCATTCATATATATTGTTGTTGTTGTTATGTGCCATCAAGTCCCTTGAGACGCATATCAACCCTATGTACAAGAGCCCTAAATGCTGATCTATCCTGTGCCAACATCACCATCTCCGACACACTCATTCCCACCACCCCAGTCACAGAATTGATCCATCTCATCGAGGTTCTTCCTCTCTTGTGCCATCTGTCCACTCTCCCAAACATAATGTCCCTCTCCAAGGACCAGTCCCTCCTTGCAACATGCCCAAAGTATGTCAGACAAAGCTTCAGAATCCTTGACTCCAAGGAGCATTCCAGGCTTCACTCTCTCCAGGACAAACCTGTTTGTTCTCTTAACTGTACATGGTATATTCAACACTCTTCTCCAGCACCATGGCTCAAAGGCATCATTTCTCTTTCTATCATCCCTAGTCACTGTCCAACTAACTCTCTGATGTTTGCACATAATTGTGAAGACTAGCCTGGATCAGGCCGCCTTGGTCTCCAGCCTGATGTCGTTGCTCTTCAGTACTCTTGAGAGCTCCCTCACAGCTGACTTTCCCAATGGCATTCATCTCTTGATTTCCTGGCTGCTTTTACGAAGAGTGTTGATTGTGGAAGCAAGTAAACTAAAACTGTTAACTATTTTAATCTCTTCACCATCCATAGTGATGCTGCCAATTGGCCCACTGGTGAGAATCTTTGTTTTCTTGATGTTGAGCTTCAATCCATATTGAAGGCTGCAGTCCTTGACCTTCTGCAGCAAACTTTTCAGGTCCTCTTCAGTTTCAGCAAGCATGGTTGTGTCATATGTATTACGTTTTATAAAATTAATCTCCATTGATCTATGCCTGCTATTTATCTTTTCAGGTCATCCTTGGATTTTCTTTCATCCCCTTTTCTACCCATCAAACTGTTATCCTAGTCATTTCCCTCTTTCCCCACCCTCTGCTCCTCTGCTGCACTTCCCTTCACCTTTTGTACTTTTATTCACAATTTTCTAGTATCCTTCTATTTTTACAATAATCTGTATTAATAAAGAATTTAAAATAATTAATAAATAATAATCTGTATAAAGTGTCCTTATGACACTGAGGTTATTTCATGCAGAATAATGCTCTCTAGGCTCTCCCATTTATATAGTGTTTTGCAAAATCATTGGTCCTTAGTATTCCATTGTGTGAATTTACCATAATTTCTCAATTCATTAGTTTGTTGATGAACATTTGTCCTGTTTCCATTTTCTTGCTACTATGAATATTGTTGCTATGAACACAGGCATACACATACATCTTCATTTACATCTCAGTTCTCATTTTGGGGTATATTTCTAACAGTGGAATAGCTGGGTTATATAGAGTTTTTATGTTCAGCTTTCTAAGAAATGCCAAACTGCCTTCCACAATGATTGTACCATTTTACAATCTCACCAGCAGTGCATGAGAGCTCCAATCTTTCCACATCCTTTCCAGCATTTATTGTTTGTCATCCTGTTAAACTTTGCTACTACTGCTGGGATGAGATGGTAACTCATTGTGGTTTTGATTTGCATCTCTTCTTATTACCAGTGACTTTCTAAAAATTTTGGGTTTATATTGGTTTGCATACAAAATTTGTATACATTGTTTCACACTATCCTTCATTCACACTGTGCTTCATATAATACCCACTCATTGTGTTTTATAAAATTAATAATGATTGAACCATCATTCCAGATTCCTGCTTGATCTTTCCAATTTCCTGTATCCCTTTCCTTCACCCACCAAATTTTGAGACCCTATGATGTACCCCCTCTCTGTCCTGACACCTCTGCTCCACCTTTTTCCTTCTTAGGACCCCATACACATTTTGCTAGTTATCCTTCTATTTTATCAATAATGGTCTTGGGCAATATTTGTCCTTATGAGACTAGTTAGTTCACTCAACATAATGCTCCCTAGTCTCTCCCAAGTTAGATAGTGATTTTCAAAAGCATTGTTCCTGGCCTAGTGGCAAGAAGCTGTACTGCAATCCCAGAGGTACATGGTTCGAATTCACCAGATGCTTTTCTGGAGAAGGAGGGACAATCTCCTCCTGTACCAGTCAGGTCTGATTTGATGGTACCAAAAAAAAAAAGCATTGTTCCTGCATCCTGTGTAACATTCCATAGTGTGAATGTACCACATTTTCTCAATCTATTCAATTGTGGTTGGACATTTGGGCTGTTTTCATGTTCTTGAGATTGTGAATAACACTGCTATGTTTGTGTCTTGGTTCCAATTTCCATGGGTTATATTCTGAGCAGTGGGATAGCTGGATCATATAGAGTTTCTATGTTCAGCTTATTGAGGAAATGTCAAACTGCCTTCCAGAGTGGATGTACCATTCATGAAAATCAACTCAAGGTGGATCAGAGACTTTGGGGTAAAGTTCAAAACCATAAAAATCATAAGAAACAAAATAGGACCAAGCTCAGAAAGGCCTAGCCTATGGTGTAAAGAGGTTGACAAATATAGCCAGAAATATATGACCAGGAGAAGATAAAATTGAGGAAAGAAAACTTCTAAAGATTAAAACCCTCTGTGCATCAAAAACTGTCCCCAACATGGTGAAAAGAATACTGGCTGGGGAAAAACATTTGGCATTACCATCACAGACAAGGGCCTCATAACAAAAGTTTACAGAAAATTGCAGGGTCTGCACAAAAAAAAATGATATGGAAAGACTTTTCATGGAGGAAGACATTCAGATGGCCAACAGACACATGAAGAAATGCTCAAAATCACTGGCTATAAGTGAGATGCAGAACCAGAATGAGATACCATCCCAGTTTTACTGGCGAAGTTTAACAAGGACAAAAAGTAATAAATGGAGAGCATGTTGAGAGAAACTCTCATTGCCAGTCATTTTTTTCAGTCACCATTAAAAATTTTTTTTTCTTTTGTACTGGTTTACTTACAAAATTTGTATACATTGTTTTTCCTACTTTATTTATCTATCCCTCCCACCAAATTGTGCAACCCTATGATTACTACCCACGCATCCCTACCTATCCTCACCCTTCTTCTCCCATCCTCCCCCTCTTGGATCCTCATACTAGTCATCTTTCTATTTCTACAATAATGGTTTTATAAAATATTTTCACTCAGCTTAATGCTCTCCAGTCCTCCCCAAGTTAGGTAGTTATTTTCAAAATCATTACTCCTACATGCTAGGTAGTATTCCATTATGTGAATGTACCATAATTTCTCAGTCCATTC